TACTTCTGTTAGTCTCAAAGGTGCCACAGGACCCTCTGTTGCTTTTTACAGATTCAGACTAACACGGCTACCCCTCTGATACAAGAAAATTTAAGGGGTAGGCACAGGTCAAAAATATGACGTTAAGGTCTGACCTCATGAATGAAACAGGACATCAAATTTCATCAAGTGATTCCTGCATCCAGTCTAATAACTTCTCACTGAGCTAGAGCAGATCTTTTAGAGAGACATCTTGATTTAAAGATTTCAAGGGACGGAGACTCCTTTATTTCCCTAGGTAAACTGTTCCAATGGTTAACTACCCATGTGGAAAATGAGGAATTATAAAGAAAACTAAAATATAACGTCTCAAAGGGGAAATTCTGCCCAAAGGCCCCTGAATGGGATTCTTGAGATGTTCTGCCCAAGACCAAATCTCACCAAGGAAAGAGGCTCCCACTATGACTGCATTCTTGCTGCTGGCCAGTTTCACTACCCGGTTGGCATCTTCAGGGGTTCGGATGTTGAAAACATTCTCGACTTCTTTGCCTTTACAGCTAAGGGCTTTGGGCCTGAAAAACACACATTCAGGAAGAGATTTTGTCAGGTTTCAATTGTGGTTTTCTTATCTGCATCCTTTCTGTTACTAAACATGTCTCTGCAAGCGCAACACAGAGCGACTCAAGGAGCCAACACACTGTCTAATAGAACTGCAAGTGATCTTCTGCTCTGACACCGGCCACTACCAGCTCTTGCAATCTCCAAAATAAAATGTAAAATCTCCGTGATAGAGGTGGTCACAGAGAAAGTTTTCTGATCCCCAGCAATTACTGACTGGCTGGTGATCTCAAGCAGGAGGGGTTCTCGCTCTCATAAATGTTTGTCCCATTTCATGTAACATATTCATTTGTATTCATGATTAAGCTTGACCTGCCCTTGCTATCAGAGCGAGATGGCAGCAGGTCACTTCTGAAGATGGGTGTTTTCATTATGCTCTCCAGATTGCCTGGGGCTCAGTAACGCAGGCCCAAACCAGTTCCCTCCATCTGTGCCAGTGACAAGAGCCATGGTGCGGGGGTGTAAGGCAGAGATTGTAGCCACACTGCAGCAGAACAACAAATTGTACAGCGGCAATGCTGAATCTGGTGGCATCTTGAAAAAAATGTCAACTACTGCAGCTGCCCCAGGGACCCTGACTGAAATGAATGAAACAGTTCACATCTTTTAGAACTATTGTTTCAGGCTTTCTGCAGACTCAGGCACAGGACCCTGCCTCAGTGACAGCTGGTCCAGTTTTCAGAATTATCTCCAGGCAGGGCCGGCTCCAGGGTTTTGGCCGCCCCAAGCATCCAAAAAAAAAAAAACGCGATCGCGATCTGCGGCGACAATTCGGCGGGAGGTCCTTTGCTCCCAGCGGGAGTGAGGGACTGTGCGCCAAATTGCCGCCGAATAACTGGACGTGCCGCCCCTCTCCAGAGCGGCCGCCCCAAGCACCTGCTTGCCAGGCTGGTGCCTGAAGCCGGCCCTGTCTCCAGTACCAAAAGAGCTGGAATCATAATTACCAACTAGAGAAACGTGAGATTCTGGGGCCCAGTGCTGCAGCAATGCCTGTGTCATTACTTATACACAACAGAACAGAAATTGAGAAAGAGACATCCCAAAACAGCCCCCAGACTGGTGACTTGGGCATTGCCCTGGGAAGTAGGATGCCCACGTTCAAGTCCCTGTTCCACATCAAGTGTTTGAGAACAGATCTCCTGCCGTATGCTCATGTGAGTGCTCTAACCACTAGGCTATGGACTCTAACTCTGGTTTTTCCATGAGAAAGTCTGTTCTTGCTCAGGCACTTAGCACCAGGAAAAGGGTCACAGCTGCGAGTCCCCACAGGAGACAGACACTTTCCTCCAGACCAAAGTTAGGTTAAGCCCCACCCCCTTTCTCTGCATTTCTAATTGGCTAGCTCAGGAGGCTCCCCATTCCGCTTGCTGGGGTCTGCCAATCCCATTCTTAGGCCCCTAACTCTCCCCCTGCATTGCATAGGGAGTGTGGGCACTGTGCTACAGCAGGGCCAGAGGGCAGCAGAGGTGTGATAGAGGGGAGGTATGTAAGCCCCAGGATGAGCAGAGCCTTATTCCCTGTGGACTAAGGAGAGGTCACTACAGGTTAACCAGAACACCTGGAGCCACAGTAGCGTTGGTCATTTGCCACAGCACCTAACTCAGGGCTGAGGAGTCGGCTGGGTGGCCGGCAACTAAAAATTAGGCATTGCAATGCTCAGCTTTGCGACGCTCAAGTCTCTATGTGGATCTAGCCCTAGGGGATCTTAGGCAGATACGGACTTCGATTACATCTGAAAATGGGATTCAGGCTCTTAAGTAACTTTGGTGCTTTTGAAAATTTTACCCAGGCGCTTATGTATAAGGGTTTTAAAAGTATTTACAAACAATATAGTAAGAGATGAACATTTAGGACTAGATTCCCAAAGAAACTTGGGCATGACAATGCTGAGTAACGCCCAACTAATTTTTAGATGCCTGGAAAAAAATCACTGGGAGTCACAAAGCCTGGGTTAGGTGTTATGACCCAATTGCCCCAGGATACATAGTTCCTAGTCTGTATGCCAAGAGATGCCCAGATGGGCATGCTTCCCTTACTGTCACCATCTTCATGAAGTTTCACCAAAGGCAGGGCATCTGGGGTCTCTGCCGAATGCTAAGAACTTTCTGATGGTCATGGTTATTGCAGGATATATATATGGAAAAGATTTTAAGAGTTATGTGGGGCCCAGTGAGCTGGGGGGATGGTGTCACAGAGGTGGGGAAAGGGAAATCTGCGCATGTCTGTGAGTTTCAGGGGTACAATCTTGACCACATATCTTGGTGTGGATTGTCCCACTGTGCTACTATACATACCTAATGCTATCATAGGCAGGAAGCTACATTAATGCAGGGTTAATGTTGTACATTTAAACACTCACAAACCAGGAAATGCGAATGTTAAGGGCATACATGTGAAAGGTAAATCTACTAGTATGGCTTACAGTACAGGGCTCAGGGTTCTGTATCATGACCTTCAGGCCCATAACATCTATTGGCAAGCCTCCATATCTTAGTCACTTCCCATATATATTCCTGCTCTCGATGCACATTCAGATCTAGAGCTGTTCAGAAAATGGTATTTCTGTCCCAGAGAAATTCTGGTATTTCATCCTGAAACAGGATCCTCCTATTTCCAGGATCAGAATTAGGGTCTAATTCTGCAAAACACACTCATAGGAGCCATAGGTGCCGACTCCGTGGGTGCTCTGGGGCTGGAGCACCCATTGAGAAAAATTGGTGGGTGCTCTGCACCCACCGGCAGCCAAGCTCCCCTCCCTGCCCCCCCACCCCAGCTCACCTCCACCTCCTCCCCTGAGCACACGGTGTCCCTGCTTCTCCTCCCAGCACAAGCTCTGGGAGGAAGGGGGGTGGAGCGTAGGGTTACCATATTTCCACAATCAAAAAAGAGGACACTGGGGGGGGAGGGGAAGCCCCGCCCTAGCCCTGCCCCTGCCCAGCCTCCATCCACTCCCTCCCACTTCCCACCCCCTGACTGCCCCCCT